CGGCACTAGAACTAACAACAAGTCTAGGAGAGGGGAGACACGCCAGGGTAAACAAAAACTGCTCACATACTCTTACAAAATCCTGTCCCCTCCATAGGGTATAGTCCCAAAACTGAGAGTGGCTTCTCACTTGAATGTTCCCGCACCTGACCCCCCCCCCCGCTCTCCTCACCCCAATGACATGAGCGCCGAAATTGCCTTGAATTTTTTTGCGGGTGTGCTTTCACTCTCTGTTACTCTTACGTCTCTTCTTAATTTCACATCAACTTTCTCAATCTTTTTGCAGAGTCTCGATGTCGCCTAGCCGTTTGTGGAGTGGCACTGGAAATCGCTCAGTACAAGGTGTGCTTTATATTAAATAGAAAAGCCTAGCTTGTGAGAGATACTTTTTCAGGATTTAATGCGAAAGGTGGATTCAGCGCAATTAGATGCATTGCTTTCTCGACTGGATACGTTCTGTAAGATTGACACCATTATTGAAAGGTGACAATTGAAAAGCTGTCGAGTTTTCTGAAAGTTATATCAAGGGCTTTTTAAATTACTGAAAAGCTTGTCCTTTTTGTGGCCTGACGAGAAGAATACCTCAACAAGTGCCGACAAAAATTTTATTCTTTGGTCTATCTCAATTGCGCTTAAGATATATACCTGCACAGTCACTTGAAGGCAGGGATAGCCGAGTGGTTAAGAGGTTAGACTCATGTCTGCACCTCTAAAAACCGCGAGTTCGATCCCTGCCGAGGTTAACCATGCCTTGCAAAAATTGCAAAAATGGTTCTAGTACCAGCGTCAGGCCCAGGTTGACAGGCCGGCTGATGAAGACCCCGTCACACAAGCATGTAAAGGGAGACGAGAGTCGCTTGGTTTGAGGAAGTTGAGCCTTTGATTTGTTGGATGCCTGTGGACACACGTTATAGGCCTCCATAATCCTTTCAGATCCTAGTCTTTTATACATGCAAAGTAAAATAAATAAATTCATCCAGTTTGTATAATTTTCTTATGGAAGAGCTTACAATTGAGCACTGTTGTGTGGAGGAAAAGAGAAAATAAAATCAAGAAAAAATATGAATCTGACTCAAAACACGGATTAAGACTGTTGGAAAGTTAGCCTCGAAGGCCCCCGCGAATTACTTGTAGACAAGCTCCGTTTATGCGGGTGACCTGAAAACATGTCCATTCATGAGACCATCGTTCGCTGCCGTCATTTCTGGATTAAACTTTCTATGTATAGTATACCAGTTTAGCTCCGCACACTACCGCGTGCATGACACGGAAGGGCTCCGTAAAGCTGGCCAGCCGGAGGAGCGTTAGGTTCTGCCGCTAAACAATAACTTTCTTCGTGAAATGCGTTAGCTGGCCTTCTACAGAATGCCCATTTTTAACCAACCGTCTGATACGCGCGGTGGAGTGCGGAGCTACAGTGGTGTCTGTAAACAGCCACCATGCATTGGATGTCAGGATGATTTAGCGGTCGAATAATATTGATGCCAATGATTTTGCAATAGAAATACCCAATCGTATATCGCTAAACATCCATCATACATTCTTAGGGATTTTGGGAATATAGCGGTCGAACGGTATTTTATGTTGATGACAACAACGCAATGAGATGATTCTGAAGTGAAATGCGTTATCTAGAACCACGGTTTTAAGCGATCCATATGTTCCCACGTGATTATCGGCCCTTATCACCTCCTGTACCTCACCGTACATGTTCCCGTCGCACTCTGTACATCCCCTTCTTAGAACCAGAACGCCGAGCTTCTCTCTGGCTTGTGAACGCAGCGCTACTGACCTTATCATGAAAATGCATTTCATCGCCTCTATCCCTCTTATACAGCCCTTTTACTCCCTGTCCCCACCGAACATGTTCCCAAATCCCCACCTGTCCCATGACTTCTTGGAAACCACCCGCTCACTATCACTTTATAAACCCCACCAAATATGTTGCCGTCCCACCCCCTACACCATACTCAAAATACAGCGTTCCATGCCTGCAGCGAAGCGCGCTATGAATTTCGTGACAGACGGACGTACGTACAGACAGACACACACACACAGACAGACATACTTAGCGAATTATATATAGTAGGATTGGCCTTGGGAGCTATTTGGAATTATTAAGGTTTTTCACAATGTTGACTCCATCAATAGCTTTTTCAGAGTGTCATACGACGTTCATTTCTCTGTCCATCGAGATTTGGGAATTGGATTTACTGGGACACACTCTGGATCGACCCCCCCACGCCCCCCGCCCAAAGCATACCACGCTCACATCCCGTGCTAGTTGCGCAGCATGGCCTGCATCCACCCATCGTAGGCACAACAAATTTTTTTTCATTTGACTACTCGTTTTTTTCGTTCATGTAGGCGTTGAGGGTTGTGCTGAGATGCCACCAAACGTTGTACCTCTAATTCACCACCCCACTTAAAGCGCAGCAGAAGCCAAATTCCAAGAGATGTTCAGACGTCTGAACTACAGCATTTTGAAACTGGCTTCCATTAGGAAATGATATGGCCTCGGTATTTAAGATAGTCGCGTTGTGCCTAAAAGGCAGTGACAGAGGCTGGAGACATCTTTAGTCATCATTGGTCGCCATTCGTGGAATGCCCATAGGGGTGTTGTAGGGGCAACCTTTCAACGCTGTGTTCCACCGTTGACGTCGTCGAAATCGCGCCGCCTCCCAGCCGACGTCTTCACTGCTTTTGATTCAGTTCCCACAGCTACCTGCTAGTACTGCTGACAACGTATCTGGATGAGCGGTTCCATAGATTTCCCGCTCCCCCATGGCTCTATTTTGTAATTTCTTACACTTCCTAACTGTCATTGGTTTTCTCGATATATATCCTAATGTCTGAACAACTTTTGCAGTACTTTGCAATGGCAGTTTCGGACTGTATACGATATGTGAAGAAGTCCCAAATCGGAATCCAAGTGGACCGTTTTTCGTACGGAGATGTTCGAATTGATTAAGAAGGTACGAATGTCGACTTTCACCGATAAACTGACCAGATAGTACTTGAAAGTGATTTCAGGGTTTCCTCTTTCCACTTTGTGCTGCAATTGAAAACGATTTGAGATTCTCTCTCATCAACATCTTGTCATGATGAAAGGTAACCTATGTAATCTCATTTTGAAAGAAATAATTTTTAGGGGCGTGAGGAGGCGGAATGGACAGCTAATAATTTTTCCACGCTATGCGATATAGTGAGTAGTACTGTATTGAATGGACGAATTTTGTGATTTTTGCCAAGTATAGCTCTTTGGACTTCACCTCAATTAAAGCTACCTTCTTGGTAAATGCGAATTCCAGTAAATTTTTTGTGTTTGGGTTTTGCTCGTTTCGTCATCTGAGAGAGTTTTGTATTCAATTGAGCAACGTGCGTTCTCCTTCATTATCAGTTATATACATCTTTTAGGGATAAACCTTCCGAGGAACAGCTGGAATTTTACAAGGAAATATTGATAGATCCAGAAATTCGACTTCTTGGCGTCGTTATAAATATCAGCGGTTCGTGCATTGCTTGAAAGATTTGCTCTAATTATACCTAGTGGAAAAGCAGACAATTGCTCAAGGGTCTGGACGGATGCTGGCCCTTCAGAGAAGAGTATGTCCCGAGCGCCTAGCCAGACATACCGGCGCTGCTGTCGCCGCGCTACGCACACCCTCGTCGCCACTCCGGTTTCACTGATACTCCACTAGCAGAGCGGGCGTTAGAGTTTGAAGAGGGCAGCGCGGAGAGTCGCACTAATACCGAAATAAGCGGGTAAGTAGGGGGTCCTATGTCTCGGGTTCTGGGCCGTTTGCTTTTCCTCATCGCTCCATGACATCTCTGCCGTTTGATTCCAAGGCTGGCTCTCCTTTTCACTGTAACTTTAAATTCCGTATGTCTGCGTGTCTGAAAAACCAGGAGCTGCTCAATTGAAACAACGCTGTTTTTTGTATACCCCTATCATTCGGCATTTGTGTCTTGTGAAAAATCATTTATTGCAGCATTGTTTCTTCTACAATTTATTGCAGAATTTGTTTCTTGCTATCTTCAAAAAACTTTCTATGATCTGACCGCGGTTACTCTTCATGATCGTCATGCGTACAGCAAAATGGCCACGTTAGCCGAACAGCGGTGAGTTCGTCGTTGATTTCTAATTTCTTTTATTGTGATGTTAATGTTTCAAACGATTTTGAAGTTACGGAGTTATTCTCTCCCTTTCATCTTCCATTATGAGTCTTAAATTTGAGGTATGGATTGAGTCTCATCGATGGAATGTTACCGAACTTGTTCCATCGGACAGAGTCTGGATGTGGTGAAAGTGATGCGATCACTTGGAGAATTTGTCACCAACTTCAATTATTGCCTCAACCAGCAGGTACCTTTCGCTCTTCATAAAATCGAAATGGTCAGCCCAGGAACAATCGTATCTATCGTAATAATTTGGCTGTACATTCTATACTCAAGACCAACTAGTGACAGCGAGCGGGAACAATGTTAGTGACTTTAAATGACTCTGAAAAGGAAGGAAAGTGAACAAATTCGATCTGGGTTCTCTCAAAACTTATCGTATCAATGGCTTTTATAGTTTTGGGATTCACTCTCCGTGAGAACTTTGTGGTCCGATGGCCATGCGAATCGGTTAATTAGCAGTCAAACACGGATTAAAAATCTGAAACATGGTTACATAGTTAGTAACATGTTTGTAAGTATGCACTTCCCTGTTTACTTTTCAGCTATTCATTGAGAAGATGTCGCCGAATCGAACGCTGCGCGTGCTAACTGCCGAACACATGGCAGATTCAATGAGAACACATGGTCTTGGAGTGCTGAACACCAGCGTCAACATCACCTATCAGGTAGCTTTACATTTCTTTGTCGTGACTGGCTGTTAGGCTGCAGTCAAGGGGTAAGATGGTTTTGGGACTCCCAAATTCTGCTCAGATATGAGCGAGGGTCTTGGATGTAACACTCCATGAATTCCGCCTACAGTAATCCCAATCTATTTTGCAGGGGTGGGGATGGGAAGCTCCATGTATAAAATGTCCTGTCCTGTAAAATAGCTCCATGTGTAAGATCGGAAAGGAATAGTTCTCACACTCCCGAGATTTCTGGCCCTCTGCAATAATTGGAATTGCTCCCGCACCAACTAGCGCATCATATTTCTCCATGCAACATGCACCATTACTGAAATAGGCCCCTCTGCTTTTCTCTGCGCATTCGCGCGCATTTTTCACAACGCAGGTGTTTGTGTAGTTCGGCGGATAAACATCACGTAAACCTGGCCAATGCAGTGCAAAATCTGCAAAACGTACTTATATACATATTTATTTTAAGTTTTCAAATTACGTAATTGACCCTGGCAACTCCACCGATGCTGGATCCATAGGTCTGAAAGTGCATAAAGGATAAATAAGGATAAAGCATCTGCCGTTGATCAATCCCTTTCTTGGGATGCGGCACGCATTCTACTTCCAT